GAAAAACCCCCTCTCGGCAGAACACACCTACGCAATTAATTGCTCTCCCAACTCTATTGTGGACGCCGACCGTAACAGGACAATCCACCCTCATCAAACATCAGATAGTACTCTGTAAAGTCATTTGATTCAAATGGTATACCAAGGGAGACGGGTTTGTTGCAGATCATATGAAAGTTGCATTCTTTGTTATCATAAGAAAGGCTGAATTGTCACAATGAGAATGTTTTGTTTCTAAAATACAGTCATTATTATTCACAGCAATGAATATGGGCTTGGGTTGACATTTGTATTGTATTAGTGTACAGCAAGCCTGTTTGAGCATATTATTGATATCTTCTCATAAAAAGAATATAAGTAGTTAAAAGAATAAATAAAAATAAATAAATAATCATGGTAAACAAATTAGCAGAAGTCCAAAAAAAAAAAAATAAGAAATTGTTGAAGAAAACTTTAAGCTAAGAATTTTGAAATGCAGTGAACAATGCTGTCAATAATTCTTGAAAGATATATTTAGCTTTGAGTCAAGTTTTCTTAATTGTATTTTTACTAACTTTGCTGAATATCAGTTCCCACATTTGTATAATTTAACGATATTATGTCGTTTATTTAATTTTCGCTATCTTTTTATTCTTGCGACTATTAATAACATTACCACTACCGTCTATTTCTTTGTTTTCATCGCCTCCACTTGAGTGGTTTACATTCGTCGATCCGACGTTGGATTGTCACGATGGTCTTTTCCCGCGGGATTGTTCTAAATTTCGTAATTGAAGGTGCAAAAGCTTTTTCTTCAAGTAATTTATACGTTTCAAACGCCATTTTGTTAAATAAAAACTTTGAATTTAATTTAATTCTTTTGTCGTATGATCGTTTAAAATTATTCCACAACGTTTCGACTTTTGGTGAGTAAGTTTTGTTTGACGGTTTTGTTAGCAGTTGTAGCTTTTTAGACTTTCCAGTCTTAGGTAATGTGCCAGCGCGATAAAGCTGGCTATTATAGCCAGTTTACCAATAAACCAAGAACGAAACCAATTAACACTCCAAGGAAAAATTCGCTTGTGAACGTGAACATTTTTCGCAAAGCTTTATTGATAAAAATTGTTTGGTTTGTCTTATTTAACGATATCTATTGAGTTGCGGTTAATTTTTGAAGCGACTAGGCCATCTACAAAATATAAACGTCTAGTTGGGAATAATGAAAAATAACTGCCTCTGAAAACGAACCAGTTTTGTATTATTTATGCTGATTTGTGAGGGAAGACTGCTCATCCACGTAAACCCATTGTTAGAAAATCAGCACAGTCAGTTAGTTCGTACGACCCGAGTTTCTAAAGATTTACCAAGGCGGAGGAATATGCTAAAAGGCGCGGAGGAAGTGTCTTAGCAAAAGCCGGTAAAATAATGTTTTTCCTTGGTCCTGCAAAAATGGTGCATCAATGGAAATACCCACTGAAATTAGTTACGAAAAAGTTTGAATGGTGTCCAATTTGCCGCATTTTACTGACGAACGACATTGTAGATAGAAGGGTTGCGTTTAGATGGTCATAATGAAGAGCTATAATTGGCATTTGAATTCGCATTTGTATCACAGGAAAAATGATCAAAAAAGCGAAAATTATGTATGCGACAAGGTGTATACTTGCGATATTTACCCTACATCCGCCATATATTAACAGAAAAGAGTTTTTATTTGCGGAGGTAAGATACTAACGCACCACAGATATAAATTCTCTACCAAAGATAATAACGTTTAATATGAGAATCACTGCAACTTTAATGGCTCACACCGAAGAGTTTGACAAATGCCATTTATCACAGTGATGAGTGTAAGAACGCAGAGAGGTTTAACGGTCTTAATTCGACACCCCAATGGCAGTTCAATTTATTTGTCAGTGGACGAGCTAAATCGGGGAAACAAACATGATTGTCAATCTTTTACTTGGGAATAAAAAAAAAGCAATAATCATCAAATTTATGTACAGAAGGAAATTTTGCGTTCTCTTATCATGTACCGACGACCGTTGTATGAAATGAGAACTATGCTTGCAGTAAGTAAACGATGCTTCGGCATATCAACGCTTTACGTTTCTTATCGTCTGAACAATATGCGATTGTACTGTTTACAGAGATACCGTCCTTGGTGCCTGAAGCGTTGGAAATCATCCTCGCACAGTCATATCGGTAACAGAGATAGACTTCTCGCCGATAATGTCAGAATTACCTAAAGTTGAACAAGGTTTTTAGATTTGTCTTAGCACAAATTATTAACGAAAGATTTGAGCTGCTGAGGAAACTTGGTGCTGAGAAAGAGAGCGAAAAATTGGAGTTGCAGAGGAAACTTAAAGACGAAAAATTGGAGCTGCAAAGGAAGCTTAAAGACGAGAAAGAGAGCGAAAAATTGGAATTACTGAGGAAGCTTAATGACGAAAAATTGGAGATCATGGTAAAACTTGTGGCGGACCGCACGGCTAAGTATTTACGTGCAAAAAGTCAGGGGAGCGCTGGAGTTTATCCGAGCACAGGTACGTTCGCATATTTTTCAACAAAATGCTCGTGCAATAACTCGTACCGCATACATTTGTTTACATTCTGACAATAAATAGATTATCGCAAGAGGAAAGCAAACCTGATGGAAAATTTGGTTACACTCTAACTGAGGGAGGTGAAGGGTTAATACCGTAAATTTACACCACTCGTAACCACATACCTGCGGTCGCCAAGAAAAAAAAATCTTTGATCTAGTATAGCCAAGGTAGGAGGAGTAGGGTTCGATGCCGTCGTTCATGATGTAAACCAGCTTAGATGAGTGATTTAGCAGTGGCAAAGTTGATTTGGTTTATATTTGACCAGATGAAAAAATTGCTGCACAACCGCGACTACATCGCACCTTAATCGTACCTATCTTGCATCTATATTACATCTTGGTTGAGGAAAATTGCATATCGGATTTGCTCATCTTGGTCGATCATAAATGAAAGTAATAATTATCGGAAAACTACATTTGGAACGTGACATGATTAACATTACATCCGAAATTTTGTCTGGAAGAAAAATATGTCTATTAACTTTTATAAACACATAGTATTATATATCTTTAATCGGAAAAAAAGCTAATGTTCGGATAATTAATTTAGGCGTATATACTATGGATTTTCTAGATATTCTCAATTACACTTAACCTCGCAACTAGTTTATAGAAAATGTGTTTTGAGTCATTATCTTGCCCAGCGATCACGACAAGTGACGATCTAAATTCTCCGTAAAATATGTGGATCCCAACTTTCCCTTTGATCTTGATTACAACCCAAACCTGAGCTTTGAAAGATGTTTTATCATAGGTTAACTCTTTTTTCCACGCAATCATGCTCGTAAAACATTTGAATAGTTAAAAAACCAATTTCTAATTCAAATACTCACGTGATCAATCCTGTATACAATTTTTCGAATTGAATCTTTAATTCTTAGATATTATAATCGTACTTAGAAATCATTCCGATTTTGGGCGGCCGTTTTTTGGAAGAGACAATTTGCGGGCGACCAGGTTGATGAATAAGGAAACATAGACCTTCACAGGAACGCAAAGATTTCTTTTGCACAAAAGAGTTTTACGGTTTGTTTAATAGATATGGGCGTCATCTAGAAAGCAAATTGAACGCGAAAACAAGTTTTAAACGTAAGCTTGTGTTTTACTGTTTGCATTTAAGATGTTAACCATATAATAATAATACACTCCGTACCAATTAAAATTATGTCCAATCACAATTCCCAAAAAGAAAAGCAACCGTGTATTGATGATGTTATTAACAAAAAACAAAGTCGCATTCTTATCGTCATTACTTTTGACCGCAAATTCTGCCCCGATTAAAAACTTTCCTCTTCGATTCTGCGGAATGCGGATTGTCGTCTGTATTTCGTGGGTACCCTTGTGTGGGTGCGATTTAGAAGATAATCGTGGAAGTGAGTAAGCGCGCATAGATTAATAAGGTCACTTGTACGTTTAGTTCAGTCTACACAACGACGTCGCTGAAGCAAAGGCAGCAATACGAGCTAAACTGCACCGTCGCTTATTGAACACATCCCGTTCTTAGACATTACGCTGAAATTCATGCTTGCAACTCCAGGAAGAAGTGTCAATAGAATAACTCAGTCATTTATTTTCTTCCCAACAAAACAACTTACAAATCTGTTTATCAAAACTTTCTAGCGGGTTTGGAAGAAGACAGCAATTATGAAATTCTTGAAATAACGCCCAAATTATGAGTCCAAGAGGTTGAGAAACTTTGTCACCACAAAGAAAAAGAAATTTATTACACTGTTTATATTTCGTATCATACTCTAATTTTTATAATTTACAAGTTATCAACAATATTAAAGTAAATCCTTACAGTTCCTTTCATTAACAATTTGTGCCCATTGTTCAAGCTCTGGACAATCGCACCCGGAAACCTCAACGCTCTTCAAACACGGAAATTTCGCATTAATCAACGGCTCGGCCGCTTTAGCAGAAATCTTCCTACACATCATTATCTTCAAAATTTCCAGCTGTTGACAAGCAGCAATCATATGCAATGGTCCTGAACCACAAAAGTCAATCCATGCCAATTCTAAATGTCGCAATGTCTTGGAGTGGAATGCTATAGTCGAGACTATTTGCTTAAATGCTCGTGCTTCGTAAATGAAAAACAAACGAAGTCGAAGAACTTCAAAGCCAGGATGCGTTCGAATAAACTTCGTGAGCAGACGAGGGGTATGTTTTGTACGTTCAATAGATATGCTGAATTGAGTCTGCAGAAATTAACTGTTAAATTATCATCTTTGTGCATAAAACAATATGCTTTCATCCATACTTACGATGAATTTACAATCGTTGACGAGAGACAGTATTGGCGTTGCCACTTTCATATTCCAATAAGCGTTTACATAGACCCTCAATGATCGAATGGGTAAAACTAATTCGTGAATTTCTGGATCAAGTAGAACTTGTAAAATATCATCGACTTCATGTAGGAAATCTGTCTTATGTATTATCAAAGTGTTCAAATTGACAGAGTATCTTTTAAGCATTTTTAATATAGCATGTACAGAGGAATAGATGACCATTACTCTTTTCTTTGGTAACAGTTTATCTAACTGTAACCATAGCCATTCATATACATCATGGATAAGACCACAGATGTCAAGATCCTTTACATACGACGGATACGCTATAGTAGGGTTTGTCCATTTTTCTGGTAGTAGTAGCTTGACCGGAATCTCACGTCTTTCGACACTGTTCAATAGACTCAGAAATGCCCTGACACTGACCATTCCTCGTTTTGTCTTTGAGGTCGAACTGAACGGTCTTCGCCAATAGAGCTTTGCGGCGATTGAAAACCATTGTCTGTTAACGAGGGTACATGAACATAGCGCATCTTCGCCTGCATCATTATCGGGAAATTGTTGGAAGATGCAGAATAGAACGTTGTCAGGGAACGGTCGTTGAAGATTCATAGATGCTTTCAGAATTTAAAAATCTAAGAGTGTTTGCGAGTATCTTGATGTTGTACTTGGTTATGTTTCTAAACAAAGATAACGCTCAAAATGGCTAGTCTTATGCAGGCGACATTGTCAGTTTATGTAAGAAGGCTAATATGGCTTATGCAGGCTTTTTTTTTTTTAACAAGAATTTAAGTTCATTTAGCCATTATGCGCCAGTATAAAAACAAACCGGTACTTGTATCAGGAAGCTTTTTTTTTCAAGGCCAGAAGTACATATTCATATCTTGCGAATGCAGCAAGTTCACCAATCACGCTTTGCCCTTCTTCAGAACATCGCGAATCTTACCCAAGACATTTTCCAGAATATACAGGTTATTTACCTTATCGTGTAACGCCTGCGCAGAAATAGTTAATGACGGTAATCTTACTGATGGACAAGTAACAATAGTAACACAATTCACCTGATACTCCTGTACAAGCTTTAATTTGACATCAGATGTTTCAGAACATGCATCCGGCTGCTGCATATCTACGAATCACGGATGGTATTCGATGAAATGATCAATTGATCACATGATTTATAAATAAGCGCAACATACCTTTTAATGTTTCTTCAAACGATTTGACCCACTCTCGGACCTTTTTTTCCAAGGGATTTAGGAATTCTTTGTTCGTATCGCGTATTTGAATATCATCCCAAACACCAGTCTATAAAAAACCAATGTAACTAACATATCTGGTAGAGCTAAAGAAATATCGTTGATAGCTTACAAGGTTCTGAACATCTCTCATCAAGACGAAAAGATAGAAATTAAGCCCATGAATGATATAGCTATACTTTTCCATGAAATCGGAATCATTTCGGATCACGGTCGGAGGATCAAAGCGTAGAATACGTGGAAAGAAGGTTTCGACCATGTACGTACTTGCGAAAATCGAAGAGTACGGCTGTTTTGTTTTTAAAATAAGCAGCGAATTCATAGACATTCACAAAGTAGTCTTTGAAGCATAATCCTATTTACCTTCTCCCCATCTCTCACTTGGGAAGCTCGCTCTAAGCTGTTTGCAACAATATCCTTCACGAGTCCGATTGCTGCACACCTCATTGTCTCAAATGGACAAGTATTGAGAAGTTCATTCAGAAGGAACACTTTCGCATCGTCCGTGCATATGGCAATTATCCGAGAAAGAAGCTGGAACGCTATGAAGCGAAGTGACTCGTTTGACGAAGTAGATGCAAAGGAGGCTATAACCTTGAAATTATCATCATGGTCAGCAATTTGGGAAATCTCATCGTTTTCTACAGTGAACTACTGTCTATAGTTCCTTCGTTTATAGTCACATCATACAAACTCGGTCTATAGTCACACTCTTCCCTCTGCCAATTAGTATGACATAAGAAATTTTCCCTCTATAGTCACCTCGCTCTATAATCGCCATTTCATATTGTGCGACTATAGACAGTGGTTCACTGTAACTCGATGAACACACCTTTATCAGAATTGATGCCTGGACATCGGTGCCGCTCAACTCCTGATCAAGATATTCATTGGTAATCGAGTTCTCTTCAATTCTCTCAACGAGAAATATGAGAACCAATAATGTCCTATCCGCAACTAGTCTTTCTTTTTCCTCACTGTGAGAACAAGACAATGAGATATATTAGCTCAGCAAAAATAATCACTAATTTAAACTACGCAAAACATACTTTGGTAACCTGTTCACAACTAGCGGCACCAATTTCTTCAGAATCCATAACGGCGATATTGTCTGTGGCAGCAGCATTATCTTCGATAATAGAAGTGTCTGGCAGTAGATAGCACACGCAAAGAACGACAGGATGACGTCGCTCGGTATACAAATCTCTGTGGTAGAAAACTTTACCCCTTTCTGATCGTCCTCGTCTTTCACATCTACGTTGATTGATGTAGATGAATATATGTATCGATGCCAGAGACGCACGCTATGTGTTGATGTACGTACCTTCATTAATGTTGTTGTGATAAACATAATAATTCAATAACTGATTGGTAGTAACACAATTATTGATCGCTAGTCTCTGTTAAAATTCGGAAATCAAAGTTAAACGCTATTGATAACAATTTTTATACCTGGAAAATTAAGCGAACGTGACTTACTATGAGTTTTTCAAGATGCTCCTTATCCTCATTTCTTATTGAATCGCCTGCTTTTGCTTTGCCTGGTATCCGGAAATACTTTGGATGAAATCTTTTATAGTACATTTCTGACATTGGAATGCTGTATGCATCAACGTAGCACTCTGTTGCGTGTATTAAATAATATGTTGCAATATAATACTCATAGTTTACATCATCCGATGGAGCGGATGAAAGCGTGAGATCGGTCTAAGAATGAGTGTGAGAAATAGCAAACTTAAAATGGCAAAAAGGTAGGCTACATATATTTAGAGACATACCTTGCAGTCTATAAAATTAAACAGAGAAGTAAACCATTCCGAAACCAAGATAAGGTGTGACAGCATGCGATCTTTTAGAACGGGGTCTACAATCTTCAAACGTCGCCAAATACGTATGTAGACCTTGACAGCGTCAGGAAGGAATTTTAGCAGAGATCGACGTTCTATACGCGAACAAACTATTCTTTTCATGCACAATGTTCGATGCAATGTCCAGTGTATACGGTTATATGAATCAATAATGAATTTTAAAAGTAGATTGTAGCACGCAGGGAGGGTGGTGTCTCCCTTCTACAAAGTTACTTACCAATCATTAAAACTTTTGACATAACTTCTACTCGTTGAAGCGCCTGCTGCTCTTTCCCATTCCACTCAAGAAGTGTTAAAATCTCAATGCTAGCCATATAAATCTCTCGGGGTCTTCCTAATTCAGCAATGCTACGGATAATTTCTTGTGCAATTTCAGATGTATCCGTTTCGTTTTCCACAAATGGTATTATCAATCTAAATAAATCCCATGATATGTTCTGAACGACCTTGATCTAAGCATACGAAATAAAAGAATTGACTACAAGTTGGCCAACAGTAACCACGCTCTTAATATTGACTATCTGAATCTGCTAACTACCAGACGCGCCGGAGGTTGGACAGGAAATAAGGTCTGCCTTAGGTAAGCTAATACTTGATCAGACTGTGCAGACGCTAGTTGTTCGCTTATGGAGGTCGTAAAGTCATGACATAGTTCGTAGAATTGAGGTTGATCGTTTGCTGCCTTTAAAGGAAATTGTTCCGGCAATTGTACTCGTTAGGTTACCTTGGGACTCTTTTACGACGACGTAGATTACCTCAAGACAAGCTTGTGCACTGGCCTCAAGACTTTTAATATCCTCTTGCAATCTATCCATGTTCCACTATTCTATAAGCGAGTTAAGGTACATTTTCTAGAAATTAATTGATTGATTTTTGAGATGATCATTCCTATTATAGGCATTTAGTATGCAGATATATATTATTTGAGCAGTGTCTCAGCTTATTAACAACATCACAGAAATATATCGGATGTACATGGCAGCAACTCTCCCGACTCTCATTCTTCACAATATCTTTGAATATGTATTAGAAGACCATCACATGGGGGAAAACTACCTGCGTCCATGTCTACTAGTAAATAGACACTGGTGTGAAAATAGTGTACCGTTATGTTGGAGGCAACCTTTTAATATCTGGATGAGTCCTATCAAACTAAGAACACTAATACAAATGATGGATGATGAGGAGAGAAACGCATTGGCTTCTGTTCCGCCGGTTTCAAAATCGTCGACTTTATTCGCATATCCTATGTATATGAAGCATTTAGATATATGTGCCCTAATAAGAGCGGCACGATATTGGGCCAAACAATGGTGGCCGCTAACTGACCAAGTGAGCGCAAAGCGACCGCCTTTGTTAGTGGTACCGCAAATTGTAAAATCGATATTGAGATTGTTCATCAGGTATTCGGCGAATGTTCTTACGCTTACGTTAGATGATTACAGATGCAATGATTTTGTCGAGGAGGAAATATTGATGTTATTTGACAAAGATCTAAGAAAGTTAATAAGTACAACGAGAGACGTACGAGTACGCTTCAGTACAGCTAAACACAAAGTTCTTCGACATCTTAGTGAAAGTTGCGGGCATCTGGTAAGCACATGGCATCATTGATTCAAGATTGTGTTTACGGTAACTAGTTACTAATATGTTTGCTCTCAATTAATACTTACATCATTGAAGGAAAGAATCGATGTCAAAATCGCGAAAGAGTCAGCTGAAACAGATTTACCAACTCTCACCGATCTAATATTGTCTCAGCAAAATTTGACGCATTTCGTTTTTCGGGGTCGTTTGCTCAGAGATTACAGGAGTGGCAACGATCAGAATCAAATGTTTGTAACGAAGAAGCTTCGTGAGTCAATGAAAGCGCTCTTAAGACACTCTAAAACAATACGATCACTTGAATTCTATAATATCGCTCTTGTGGATGTCCCAACACTTTCATCGTTTACCAATCTGGAAGAACTAAAATTTCAAGAGTGCGCGGGATTTCGAGACGCCTTTGTGAATGATCTGCTGAAGAATGACTTCAAAAAATTACGAAACGTAGAGATTAGGTTCTGTGCTGGTGGTAACAAGCTTGATGCATGGGTTGAACATTTTAAAGATAGGGACCATAGGGCAATGTTATCATGAGAGAAAGTCATCGTGAACAAATGTAGTTACTCCAGGTCGCTGTATTTTAGACTTACGGGGAACGGCTTATGTATTGATAACTATACTTTTCATAGACAATGTATTTTATGACAATTTCTATAGACATACAGTAAAATCATTATGCAATTCAAATAACTTATTAACAATCATTAAAATCTTCAACCTTATGCACGCATATGTAAGATTGTGTTTTTATAGCATTATACATCCTTCATAAAGTATCTGTAATAAATTACGAGGGTACTGCAGACACTGTGTCACTATAACCACATATGTAATAACAATAGCGTTTTCTTTTTATATCATTGAGTATTAGTTGCCCCGTCCTTTTTATATCACAGCTACTATTTTTGTGAAAGTAGCAAAGGACAGTACAAATAGGGCTGTATATACAAGTGCAATTTCTATTCATATAATAATAATAAGCCTTTATTAAACGTCTTGGACATTATCAAATGCTTTGCCATGCTGATTTCCGCAAGCTGGCAAAAGAAAATTTTTTTGTTTCGATCCAACTACAAAAATTTGTGCCTCTGGTTACCATCAAAGCACTTAACAGAATTGGAATGTAAACAGCACAACTGATAACGATTATATCGACTGTTGACGAATCGAAAGCAAGTATTTGTGCAATATGTGACAGATTATAATAAAACCGCCAATTTTTCAGCCACAGATGACATTTTTTACATTAAATCCACCATGGTAACCAAGAATTACAGCTCTATTAGAAATCTCAAGGAGAACAAATTGTCCTCATGTTTTTAATCAATCTATGACCTCCAAACTCTTCAGGAATATCTTAGATAATAATAAGGAAAATTTACTAGTACTAATGAAAATCATACCTAATAGTAATAAATACTTAGCCTGAATTTATGATGAACCAAGAAAGAAACGAAAAAAGAATACAACAATAAAGCAAAAAACCTAATACTAAATAATTATTTCATTTATATATTAGGAGTATACTCTTATAAGCTACCATTCCATGGGTTGTAAGAGCTATTACTATTGCAGCATTGTGCTTTAATATTAACACTGTGTCAGACATTTAATAAGTGAAACTAAATATAAAGATCTTTCATAATTGTGTGTTACATCACCGAAACTTTAATAATTCTTCCAATTTCGTTGATAACTTACTCAAACCTTGTAAGTTCAAGCTTTCTAAGATTTTTAAAGTAGTATTAGTATATTCTGAACTTTCACATTTCAAATCCTTAGTTTAAAGTTTTCTTCATTATCTTCTTAACTCTCCGTTTTTTCTAATAGTTTTTTGTTTCTCTGTAATTATTATTATATGTTTACCATGTTTTTTATTTTATTTTGTTTATTCTGTTATTATTTTTTATGACAGTGTATGAAGTACATAATTATTTTTAGCTTGAAATTAATATTAAGCTAGTAAATTGCGTAAAAAATTAGACATAGAACGAAACATTTGTCTAAATATTTTATTTGTTGCCAGTATAAGCTGGTCTTGGGTAAGTAACATTTTCGATTTAGTCTCTAACAAATGAGCTATGTTTTGATAAAATATTTGAGCCTTTAAAGGAAAAGAATTAGAACTACGATTGGGTTTAATTTCTTGGACAATTCTGGAAACACATGCTTTTCTAGTTCTAAAACGGCTGAAAACACCATTGACGACCAGCTTGGCTTTGACAGTGCCAGAATTAGATATTTTTGTAACCACCCAATTTTTAAAGAAAATTCCCAAAACGGAATTAAGTGTAACGAAAATCATGTCGGTCTTGATCTGAAACGTTTTAACGTCTACGCTTAGGGTCATCACGAAACTATGGTATCACTTTTTTGTATGTCATTGATATACTCCGTTTAGCTAATACAGCCAGATGATAAGCTCGCCTCGTGAAGAAAACCACTGACATTTAACATTAGCATCTTAGAATTTCTACAAATAATCCTCAATTTGAAAGTTAAGTTAGCTTTTACGTAGGGTGTCTGAAAGTTTTGACAATATATTTATTTTTCGAAATGTACATAACAACTTTAAAATAATTATCACATTCCTTCAAAGTACTCTCCATTTATTTCTACACAACGTTTCAGTTTTTTTGCCAATTTTCAAAGGCTCTACAGTACATCTTTTTTTGGTATTAGTATACTATTAGACACTGCCTGAACATCTCATGCAAGGTCTTCAACATTCTGAAACTCCTTCATTTTTTATTATGGGAATAGAAAATGTTACAGAAAGCCAGATATAAAAGATGGGCATAAATTAGACTGCTTCTGTAAGTAACTATTAATTACAGTGCCTTGTAAAGTGTGCATTGTCATGATGAAGAGTCACATGACATACGGAATCCATCTTGAACATACTTTACTGAGATCAAGTTGACTATGTAAAATATGTTCAATTGTTTTTTAGGCCTCCCAACCTCCTCCCCTGTTATGTTTAAAATTATGTGGGGTTCTCATTTAGTATTAAGTGGACTTCAGAAATGTCTTATTGCCACGTATTCATTACAGGAACCTGATTGTAGAAAATAATTTTCTGTCGACGAGAAATGACGATAGAAAAAAATTTACTTGGGACTTTGCATACCAACTGTAAATATAAATTACTACTTGCATTAGACTATGCAATATATTTTATATAGCTAATTTTTGAAAAAAAAAATTTTTTTTTATTAGTGCTAATTTCTTTGACCGCGGAAATGATCTTCTTAACGAAAATTTATCTGAAAGAATGTACCGTGAAGTCTTTTTCACACTAATCACGCGAAGCTTGTTTCAAAAATTATGTGAAGACATGAAGGTTTTTTTGTAAGTGACAAACAGTATGCATTTCTAAGATTGCTTGTTATACACCTTAACAGAAAAATTTAACCTATTAGTGGCGAGATGTCCTTATTTGCGTCAGCGGAAGATTACGATCTAACCAAAAATGATGAGGAGGATCGCAGTAGCGGACGAAAAATCGATATTGTTTGGGCAACATCACCAAAACTTGAATTTGCCATTGGAGAAATTAGCGGTCCACCTAACCAACGCCAGCATCCACATTTTTTCGGAGATAAGCTTAAAATTGCAAAAATGCTAAAAGTAGTGTTGAATAGAATAGTACGAATAAATGGAGGGGTCAGGGAGAGTTTGAGCATGCTAAAACTACATGGTTTACAAATTTACGGTAAGTATTTTCAATATAAATGGTAGTCTTTTATTTTTTTTTATCGAGATGACTGTGCCATATAAAGGGTTATACACAGGGAAACTCGATAAGTCGGCCATGCATGGCTGGGCATGGTAGACCGACTTATCGAGAGGATCGACTTATCAACCACGTGACCAATATGTCAAATTTTTATTCACCGTTATAATAATAATATATCATAATATGATAAATAGACAAAAAAAATTATTCCAAATAAATATCCATGCTTGTTTGCGTTGAAGAAGTTATTCTCTTTTTATCAATTTTCCGTTTTAAGTCTCTTAATCCTAAAACAAATGGAACTGTTTACTATTATATCAATATACTCAAGATATACACAGTGCCGCTCTTTATAGTAGACCTCCTTTATAGTGGAGACTAATTAAAATCGCGATATAGTGGATAGAGGTTCAAAACCGTCTATAATAAATTCTATCCGATATAGTGTATTTACTAATTAATTTTCAAAAACCCTCGATATAGTGGATTTTTGAGAATTTTTTGCTAATAGATTTTTTTGATACACTATAAAGAGAGTCACTGTGTAATTAGCGAGTAAACAGTATAATTGTTGTGTTACAATACAAACAAGAAATCTTTACCAAATGATCCCATCGATTAAAATAGTAATGATGCTCCCGAATGTCACGTGAGACCGACTTATTGAGAGAGAGTAATTTACCGTTACATAAATTACGGGATTTTTGTCACGTGGGTCAAAATTGATCATTCACGCGGGTTTTTTTATTTTCGATTATTAGGACCACGGAAAAGAGCTTTCAAACGAACGGCGTGAGCGTATAATTGGCGCATATCTTAGTAATGTGAAGCAAAACGTTATCGCCAGTCAATTGAACATATCCACTAGTACGGTGAATAACACAATTAAACGATACAAGCAAACAAACTCTGCAATACCCAAGAAACGTCCTGGGCGCCCAAAAACGCTTACTGACCGGGATAGACGGGGCATAGTCCGGGAGGATAGGTTTGCCTCGCTTCCCGTTCTGACAGGTATAGTCTTGAGACTACACTACATACTAATACAGTTAAAAGATATCTACACGATGACGGTATTCGAAGTTACGCTGCTAAAAAAAAGCCACACTTGACTAAAAAACAACGACAAAGTCGATTAAGGTGGTGTAGAGAAAAGCGTAATTGGAAAGAAGAATGGAAACAAATAGTATGGTCAGATGA